TGTGCAGCAATGCAGGAAGGGGCAGGTGAAGTGCCGGCACTTAATAGCCTGTTGGTCAAACCAGTCAGGATCACCTGTCAGAGGCTCCAAGATCGAACAATAGCTCCCGACCTACTGGTTGGTGACCACTAGTTTAAATTTTGTAAAACTACCGTGGATAACAGGTCCAGTGTAGACACAGCCCAGGTATATGATTGGGCTAGGAGGGATAGCTCAGTGGTTTGTGCATTGGCTTGCTAAATCCAGTGTTGTGAGCTCAATTCTTAAGGAAAGGAGGCCATTCGGGGCAAAAGCACTGCTTTAACAGTTATCGGAGAAGAGAACTCATCTCTTTACAGTTAAAATAAGAACGGACCAAATAGAGGGGTTTGCACATGTGAACTGGAGCACTTCAGAATTTTAACACAACACAGATTTTTCTGGCCCTTTTTATTTTGCCTCCTGAGCTTGAACTTTGAAGAAGTATTTAAAAATGTACTTAAAAAAGAAACAGGAGACATTAACTAAATTAAGTGCCTACAAATCATATAACTATAGGATTTATTATGCCTTAGCAAACTCTTTAGTGAACAGTAACTGATTCAGAGTAGTTCACGCCCTAGAAGATATACATGATGGCTGATTGATCTGTGTAAACACTTTATCTCATGGGGAAAACCTAAAGTTTATTTTTCCAATTTTAGCATAGAGTTCATGACCCAATCCATGCAGTTTCCTTTCCCCTGGGCTTATCTCACCGCACACTGCACTGATTCCAATCTCCTAAAAAGAAGCACTGGGATTAAATTATCTAATCTGAAATCTCTTGTGCTCTTGCTGTTTATTTCCAGCTCATGAAAGTAGGCAGCTCCTGCTTTCCCAGGCCACATGAGACTACCAGATCACCTACTCGGACATTCTGTAAATCATGTGCCACAACACTACCCAAAATGCACACAGTAAACAAAAATAAAAATTAGAGCTAAGTATTACAGCCAACAGGAGACTAGATTATTATATTTTACAAGCGGAGAACTGGAGGGACCAATGCTTAATGTCCTGCAATGGCAGGGAAATGAGAAAGTGAGATATATCCAGATAATTCTTGCAAGTGACCCGCATCCGCATATTTCAGAGAAAGGTGAGATTCCCAAAGGTCACCACCAGCTCCTGCACCCTTCCTCCTGGTTGGATGCCCCAGCCCATCTCAGCCCCCAATGGGGCCACCAGCTAACATGGGCCTCATGCCACAGTTTTAGCCATGGGGAATTTGTTGGTGGCTTCCCAGCTGCTACTGGGGCCCTAACAAGGCCAGTCTGACCTGAGGGAAATTCCTTCCCAACCCCTTATAAGGTGTTTTTTATAGTAAATTTGTCAGAAGAGGTATAGGAAAAAAAATAAGTAAATCAATCTCATTGTGTGGTTGTCCATAGTGTAGTACAGGACTCACTCCGAATTCTGAAGTATGGAAACTCCAGGGCTGTGTCTACACTGGACCCCTTTTCTGGAAATGCAAATGCAGTCGGGATTTAAATATCCCCCGCTTCATTTGTATAAACATGGCTGCTGCTTTTTTCCGGCTCGGGGCTTTGCCAGAAAAAAGCACCAGTCTAGACAGGGATCTTTCAGAAAATAAAGCCTTTTCCGAAACATCCCTTATTCCTACTTAAAATCAGGAGTAAAGGACCGTTCGGTAAAGGCTTTATTTTCTGAAAGATCCACGT